CAACCCCCACCCCCCCTTCCCCCGCAGTGCGACCCCGGCCAGGCCACCAAGTACCTGTACGAGCTTCTCTACAACGACCCCATCAAGATCATCCTCATGCCCGGTTGTAGCAGCGTCTCCACGCTGGTGGCCGAGGCCGCCCGGATGTGGAACCTCATCGTGGTGAGGAACCACCACCACCTCCTCCTCCTCCTCCTCCTCCTCTTCAGGGGTGTCCCCAGGGACACACAGGGCTCCTGGGGGGAAGCAGGGTGGGGTGGGGACAGGATCTGGGGAACCCCCCCTCTGGTCACCCTAACTCCTGCCCCGACCACGCTGGGGTTGGGTGGAGACCAAGGTGGGGACGGAGGTGGCACAGCCTGGGCTCGGAGAGCTGTTGCCTCTTGGGGTGATCTGGGGTGGGGCGTTGGGGTTGGGTTGGGTCTTGGTGTTTGCATTGGGCTTGGGGGTGGTTGTGGGGTGGTAGGAGCTTGGCCTGGAGTGGGACACGCGGCCAACGTGGTGGTGGGGATGGGCAAAGAGAGTGACCGCTGCGTGGGCAACTGTGGCTACCTGTCCGGTTGATGCTACTTGGGCGACCATTGCTCCCCAGTTGTTGCTACATGCGTGGTGGTTGCCCTTGGGTTGATGCTATGTGCGTGGTGGTTGCTCTTGGGCTGATGTTACGTGTATGGAGGTTGCTCTTGGGTTAGTTGTTGCTACGTGCGTGGTGGTTGCTCTTGGGTTGTTGCTACATGCAGGGTCGTTGCCCTTGGGTTGGTTGTTGCTACATGCCTGGTGGTTGCTCTTGGGTTGGTTGTTGCTACGTGTGTGGTGGTTGCTCTTGGGTTGTTGCTACGTGCGTGGTGGTTGCTCTTCGGTTGGTTGTTGCTACGTGCGTGGTGGTTGCTCTTCGGTTGGTTGTTGCTACATGCATGGTGGTTGCTCTTGGGTTGATGCTGTGTGCATGGTGGTTGCTCTTGGGTTGGTTGTTGCTACGTGCGTGGTGGTTGCTCTTGGGCTGATGCTACGTGCGTGGTGGTTGCTCTTGGGCTGATGCTACGTGCGTGGTGGTTGCTCTTGGGTTGGTTGTTTCTACGTGCAGGGTGGTTGCTCTTGAGTTGGTTGATGCTACGTGCGTGGTGGTTGCTCTTGGGTTCTTGCTACGTGCGGGGTGGTTGCTCTTGGGTTGTTGCTGCGTGCGTGGTGGTTGCTCTTGGGTTGGTTGATGCTACATGCGTGGTGGTTGCTCTCGGGTTGGGTTGATGCTACGTGTGTGGTTGTTGCCCTTGGGTCTTGGCCACCTCTGTAGCTGCGTCCCGACACTCGTCGCTGGTGTTTCTACACGGCACCGCTGTTACGCCTCGTCTGCCTGTAGCGACACGCGGGGCTCTTACCGGCGGCCCACGGTTGCACCCGCACCCGCCGCCGGTTCTCGCTGTCAGCACCCACACCACTGCCCGTGGCCCACTCGGGTGCTTGACACATGGCTACTGGTGGGCCCAGTGGCGCCGGGG